ACTAATACTGGTACTAATACTAATATTAATACTAATCGTAATCCTACAAATACTAATACTAATACTGATACTAATACTAATAATAATACTAATACTAATACTAATACTAATACTAATACTAATATCAATACTAATACCAATACTAATGTTAATATTGATATTAATACTAATATAATACTAATGCTAATACTAATAATAATACTAATACTAATAGTGATACTAATACTAATATTGATATTCATATTGATACTTATACTAGTACTAATATTGATACTAATAATAATAATAATACTAATACTAATAATAATACTAATATTAATACTAATACTTATACTACTAATACTAATACTAATACTAATAATAATACTAATATTAATACTAATACTTATAATACTAATACTAATACTAACACTAACACTAACACTAATACTAATACTAATACTAATACTAATACTAATACTAATACTAATACTAATACTAATACTAATACTAATACTAATGCTAATACTAATACTAATACTAATACTAATACTAATACTAATACTAATACTAATGTTAATACTAATGCTAATGCCAATACTAATACTAATATTAATACTAATACTAATACTAATACTAATACTAATACAAATATTAATTCTAGTACTAATACTAATACTAATATGCTAATATTCCTAATGTTGATGCTAATTTACATGTACTAATGCTAATACTATTTTTTATGTTAATGCTAATCTGGATATGCTAATGCTAATTATAATTGTAATCCTAATATTATCCAAACCCTTATCCTATTCCTAATCCTATTCATAACACTAATCATGATTCTAATCCTAATTATATTCCTAACACTAATCATAAGTCTAATCCTAACCCTAATAATTTTAATATTACTAATGCTAATGCTAATGCGAATGCTAATGTCACGCCCCGAAATCTTGTGACGTGAATAATAAATAAATTTAAGAAAAACGAACACGATTAAAGAAAATCGGACAGCCTCGCTGTTTTAACTTAAAAAAATAATTTCTCTCAAACTACCAGTTGGAAATATCTGAAAATTTAACACCACACTGTAAATAGTCTATGGAATATGTCTGTAAAACAGTTTTATAAACGGTTCAGCCGATTTTGAGTAATCAATAAAATATTACAGTGCTGGCAGCAAAACTAACATACAGCTGAAGGAACTTAAAAGAAATTTCATAATAAAATCGATTTTCATCCAAAAAGAATAAAACTTAAAAGTAATGACGTTTTAGAAGTCTAGTTTCAAACACAGTTGGAATCGCTTCAATCCGACAAGGAAAATTGAGGTTTTAAAATATAATACGAAACTCGCATATAAACAAATTCAGCCTTTAAAGAAAAATTCATAACTTACTCATTTGAAATCCGATTTCGGCAAACTCTCTATCGAATTGAAGCTAATAAGGAAACAATGATCACGTAAAATCTCATAACCTTTGGACGCATAATTCATTGCCAAACATATCCTAATATTAATCTAATCATGCATATCCAACATAAAGTTTCATCTCAATATCCCACGGTTTACTCATAGTCATGATAAAATAATTTAAAGAAAACAAAGCATATTCAGCTTCAAACCGACAACCCAAATAGAGTTATCAACATCGAAGCATACTAATAAAAACGAACATGAAAAGTCGTAAGAATCTACTATGCAATTCCACTCCAAAACATATTCTCGGTTTAATCATTTCGCTCGATCCAAGTTATCACCTGAAAAGTAGTAGGGGGGTGAGCAAAAGCTCCGTAGGAATAATGATTTCAAAGATTTAATAAAAGCAAAGGGTCATGCAAACTTACAATGCATGCTCAAACACGAAAATCATTCTAGAAAACAGTTGTTTAGAAATCCTGAACGAACAAGAAAAAAAAACATTTTCTTTGTAAAGCTCGTAGTTTAAAACAAATCATGTTATGTACGTAATAGTCCCTTGTGGACATAACGATCCCATTATAGCTCGATCAATCATGAGCTCTGCCCGTGACTGCACACAGCCAGTCCCGTTATAGTCCGATCATCATGGACTCTGCCCTCTTTACGGGGTGCTACCCCGAAGGAAAAGTTACCTCCTGCGCAGGTTTCCGGTCTTTCACCGTGGAGCTAGTCAAACCCAACTTAATTTCATTTCACCACGTACACTTCCACAACCAGTTCGAACTATTTTACTTTATCAAAACACATCCCCAAAACCAACACTTTGAAATAAAGACTTTCAGAAAAGATCGAGTGAAACGAGTAAACAAACACCATAACCCACATGCACATTCACAAATATTAAAAACTTTAAAATGAAAACCCCTACCTCGGTTCGTTCAATCAATCCACGGGATTATAACGCTGTTTCGCCACATTTGGTAGTAACACCTATGCATAATTAAAATTAAGTAAATACAAGCTCAATTCCATGATCCAGCAAATTAGAGTTTATTCACTGTTTATTCTATCGAGCTGTAATGTCAAACTAGCTAATTCG